CTACTACTTGTAGCCCTAAATCACTGAGAGTGCTGTTCCTCTTTATATCAGGAGCTGTAATAGTTTTCGATTGCCCCAATCAGAATTTTTGAAATTGTAACTAGTCGTGTCACCATCTTCTTCAATGGAAAAAATATTATTTTAAATGTGCAATGGAAGGGCAAGTGTAATAAGTAGGAATAGGACCTAGAGTGTTTTGGGGGAGAGGGTGGAGGGGGTGGGGGGTGTAATCTCCTACTAACCACACAATATTTACTGCCTCATACCTCTTTCTTTGCCCATTTTTCACTTAATGCTCCCACTGACCCTTTGCCTTTTACCCTCTTCCTAACTTGCCGAGATTATCTGTCTATTTTTCTATTTGACCAGTTCTGTAAAATATCCAACATTTACTGTGGTGTAGCAATGTCCAGAGCCAGAAATCAAATGGATTACAATTTTATAGTTTATCCAGAGAATAATCCCAATTACAAAATGTTCTGTAATATATTCTACACGTAGGTTGTCAAAATGTGAAACACACCACAGTATAATACACCACCTTGTACTATGATCAGTCTGATCTTGTAAAACTGTCCATGTTCTTAAACTGGATATTTAAGTGAATGTAAAAGGCAAAAAACCTAGATTAATCAGTTATATAAAAAACTTATTGCATCAGATAAATACTGAATCTTGGAGTGGAATAAAGGTTGTAAATACGTTTCTAACATATAGGGGGACCTTGACAAACTAATTGATTTTCACATTCATGTTTGTAATACTATTCAAGCCCCTTATCTGAACTGTTAATTATTAGGCATCTATTCTGTGTATCATGCCATATGTTCCGCAAGTTGCAAACTTTCAAGCCTCATTGATAGAAAATCAGCATATTATTGAAGTCAAAAAGTCTTTGAGTAATTTAAGCGTTAACAATATTCTTGGGTAAATTAGCTACAATAAACATTTGCAGAAAAAGCACCTTGTTTTTGCACCTTGTACCTTCGATTTGAATCAGAATTTTTTGACATTCTTGAATATCAGCTGCTGTATCTGCTTTTATATTTGCTGCTAAACTCAATTTTTCCTTAGAAATAGAATTATGGAATAAACATAAGAACTGCTTACTACATAGTTTTTACAGGTTTTGTTCTAATGGTACCTGCCTTAGGCAAATTGGATCAGCTTTGTAGTTTATAGCAGTTTTTCCATTCGGTTACATTAACAACCAACTCCTGCTGATATGAGTTTGGGACTCAAGTGTTTGAAGATAAATCCACTAAAATACCACCTGTAGTACTGAAACACGAGGGAGCTCACTGTGTGCGCACAAAGACCCATTTAGCAGGTAGTTTATTTGACTCCTTTGCTTTCAATCAATGTGTCACATCTGGTTTCCCTTTGCTGTTCTCTTTCAGACACGCTGGAGGCTAATGTGCTGCGCCAGCTCTTTAAAAGGGATGGTAAGTATCCTAATGCATCTAATAGAATACGGTAGGACCACAATTGCAGCTAGCAATTACTGAGGAGAGGGNAAAAAAAGTTTGCTCTTCAGCAAACTTTGTTTTTAGCTAAAGGAGTTTGTTCCTTGAAAACACAGTAAAGCAGAAGTTTAGCTAATGGCTGTTTTGGGAAATGATGTGGGATTAAGCTCTAGGTTTAGTCTTCAGCCTTTACTGAGGTATACGCTCAGCTGGTACAGCGATAATTTTGCTCAATGTTCTCAACCTAGTGATAGTTCCTGCTCCTGAAAGCTATCCTGAGACCACTTGCTGGAAGTTCATCTGCTGGATATTATATGAGAGAGGAGCAAAACAAAACATTGCATTTTTGTAATGGTTTATCATATAAAAAGAGCTCAAAGTGAAGATAATTCCAGTCAATTATAAGTCACACCAAAAGAACTCTGTGCTCGTCTCTGAGATAGTACCATATGATCTTTAATGTCCAACTCAATCTCTGGAACAAGTATGTAGGACATATATTATAATCCCTCAAGAGAAAAAACAATAATAAATTGGTCACTTCAATCCACGACTGTTTGTCGGAAGCTGCTGTGCGCAATTGGCTGCTGTATTTTGCCCACAAATATACAGTCAATTCACTTTACAGTATATTCTGTGAAGCGCTTTGAGACGTCTAGAAGACGTGAAAAGTGCTATATCAAATGCAAGGATTATTATTATTATATATTAACACTTTTTCAAGGGGACAGCACTTACAATACTCCAGCACTTCCTGACAGGGGGATATCAGTCTAAATCAATCAATGTAATGTAGAAATTCACAGCAGTGTGAGAATTGTGGGTTGGCTTTGGGACAATTCAGAAGTGTGAAAGCTTTTATATTGACAAGGTTGCAGGAGTAAAAGGAAAATACTTGGAAATTCTTTCAAAGGAATGGGATTTTCCAGAGTTAATGGATTTATGACAAAATTACCAGCTGTGATTTTAGCCATTCTCATCTTCTCTGTTTATTCTAGGTATGGAAGATGAGACAGTTACCATTGAACTCAAAGCAGCAACCAACTTCTTAAGCAAACTGGTCCGTCCCAAGCGAACTACAAAACGATATCGTCAGAACCCAGATTTCTGGAACTGGTACCAGTATTTCACGGACATTGGATTTGATGAAGGAGTAAGTGGCCATTTTCTTTCTAACAGTAATATGTGAAATAGACACATTTGCTAATCAGAATTGTTTCACAGGAGACCGTAGACACATTCTGTAATTCTAGTTAGTGTTATAGTTACCAGTATCATTAATATCTATGCCATGGGAAGCTTTCAGTTACAGAAGTTACAGAAGTTGCAGGTGCATCTCAGGTAGAATATTTAATTAATATTTGAGCTCCAACTACCAGTGCACAGTTACATGTTCCACACTCCCAAGGGAAGAATAATGCGGATACCTATGAACAATCAGCTATTTGAACCAATAGGTTTGAATCTCCATGATTTTTTATCATTGAGGAATCATTGAAGAGTGTAGCTGCCCACTGAATGTTTGGAATATGGTAGAGATCCAATTTCAGATCACAGTTGACCTGCCCACACTGTAGTAGAAGTCTACATTTGCACAACAACAATTTCGCCCACAAATATGTGGTCAATTCACTTTACAATCTATTCTGTGAAGTGCTTTGAGATGTCGAGAAGACGTGAAAAGCGCTATATCAAATGCAAGGATTATTATTAGAATAACAATTAGATCTGAAGCTTTTTCACACCAACTGTCCATAGGTGCTATTGAGGAAGGTACTTGCTCAGTCAGAGCCTGCACAGATTTCTCGGTCAAGCAGTCAATCAGTTCATCCACACATCCCTATGGATATCAGCTATTGGTCGTGTGATCTGTGTGGTGCATTCCTGCACATTGAGCAGCATATTTTGCAATAAGGAATGGACATTGGTAGTTCCTGATACTATCTATCAACGTCTTGATACACTCAGTAGCTCATGTGCTGGTCTGCCCACCATTAAAGGACTCTGCGGCTTTGGCTATGCTTGCGCAGGAAAGCAAAGAAAGGGCACTAACCTTGTCACTTTCCTTCAAATTGTACAGCTTCATCCGGATTTCTGAAGTGGTAATAGCGCTCATCTCTTTTCATTGGTTGCTGAGCTTACATTAGATCTAATCAAACATTAGCTTACAGGCTATTCATTGGGAGTGCTTCTGAAATTGCTTCCGTGATTAATGTTACCGATTCTAGCCAATTTTTATGGATTACTCACATTTTACTCAATTGTGCAAGCTAGTGTTTCCATATGAAGACCTGTGATATAACGTGTCTGCAAATGTTTGTGCTTATGACATTATTTTGCGAAGTTTTTAAAACTTTTGTGAAATTATAAATTTGACACAATTAAGTTAAAATGTACCAAGCTTCTGTAGATGATCTCTCCCTGCACTCACTTGTAATCTATCATTTTATAGGTGCAGGAAATGGACAAAGCCTATTTACATCACCTTCAGGCAAAGAACAGAGATGACGCCCATCAATCACACCTTGCATACCTTTCACGCATGCGTGCTGAGCTCTGTGACAAAGAGAAAGACCCCGAATGCAAAATGGTTACTCTCCACAAACTCAGCCACTTACTTCCGAAGCATTGTGACCCACACAAAGACCCACACTGCAGGACTGAAGCACATCCTTGTGACTCACTTAAAGATCCACATTGCATGCCCCAGATGCAGATGTGTGACTCTAGTAAAGACCCATACTGCAGGTCCCAGACCAAAACATGTGACCCATATAAAGACCCATATTGTAGAGTTGAGGCCCAGATGTGTGACCCGTACAAAGACCCAAACTGTTACCCTCAGCCCTTGTCCTGTGACCCACACAAGGACCCATATTGCAAATCCCAGCCAGAGCCATGTAACCCCCACAAAGACCCAAAATGCAGATCACAATACCGGTCCTGTGACCCCCATAAAGACCCATACTGCAGGTCTCTCGCATGCGACCCCTATAAAGACTCGAGCTGCAACCGCCAGACATATTCAAAGTATTCTTCAATACTTTGCAATCCATACTTAGACCCAAATTGTGGTCGACAGCCCCTAACTTACAAGCAAATTGCTGAGTTAGCAGAGCGAGACTGTAATCCGTATGATCCAACCAACCTTTACTGTGTAGCACTGGCTGAATATGTGCAGCAGCAGCAGCAATATTGTGATCCATATAAAGACGCTAACTGCTTTACCAGATCAAAGAAGGAAGCTCCTCCCTTGTACCCTCAATGTGACCCTAAAACTGACGCTAGATGTCGCTCATCTCTGTCCGTATATAGAGATCCACCATCATATCATGGTTGTGATCCCTATCTTGATCCCAAATGTCGCATTTCCTACCACGCTAAGGACGAACCGATACAGGACCCTCACTGTGACCCGACATATGATCCCTACTGTAGTCCTGCTGGCTCCGCATATAGTGGAAAAAGTAATTTGGGTTGCAACCCATATCTTGATCCCAACTGTCAAGGTGTTGCCAAATCTATCCACAGATCTGCTGCAGAACCCGATTGCGATCCCGAGCTTGATCCTTATTGTGGCAGACCTGATTCCGATTACAAAGGTAAAACAAAGGAAGGTTATGATTGTGATCTCTACAATCATCCAGAGTGTTATCCTGTTTCAGATTCCAATCCTGTTAATGAACCAAATGCTAACTGTGACCCATATTATAACCCCAGCTGTCGTATAAATGAAGAACACAATCGTCTACCTGAACATAACCCTGATTGTGATCCAGAGTATGATGCGAACTGTCGTGCTGACCGATCCCGCACTTATGAAAGAAGAGCCAACGAAGAGTGTGACCCACGTGATCCTTACTGCCAAATCTCCCAATCCCTCATTCGTGAAGCTACAGACTCAGAAGAGTGTGATCCACGTGATCCATATTGTTGGACATCTGAATCACGTACGAGTCAAAGAACAGCATCAGACCAGTGTGATCCACGTGATCCTTATTGTCAGACATCTGAATCCCGTACTGCTGAAAGAACAGTTAACGAAGAGTGTGATCCACGTGATCCATATTGTCGGGCATCTGAATCCCGTACTAGTGAAAGAACAGCAACAGAAGAGTGTGATCCACATGATCCATATTGTAGAATGTCTGATTCCCGTATTAGTGAAAGAACAGTTGCAGAAGACTGTGATCCACGTAATCCTTACTGCCGCACCTCACAATCTTACTCCAGTGAAAGAAGAGCCAGCGAAGAGTGTGACCCACGTGACCCTTATTGCCAAATCTCCCAATCCCTCATTCATGAAAGTACAAACCCAGAAGAGTGTGATCCACGTGATCCTTATTGTCGGACATCTGAATCAAATACCAGTGAAAGAACAGCATCAGAAGAGTGTGATCCACGTGATCCTTATTGTTGGACATCTGAATCCCGTACTGCTGAAAGAACAGTTAACGAAGAGTGTGATCCACGTGATCCATATTGTCGGACATCTGAATCACGTACTAGTGAAAGAACAGCAACAGAAGACTGCGACCCACGTGATCCTTATTGTCGCATCTCACAATCTTACTCCAATGAAAGAACAGTTAACGAAGAGTGTGATCCACGTGATCCATATTGTCAGACATCTGAATCCCGTACTAGAGAAAGAACAGTTGCAGAAGACTGTGATCCACGTAATCCTTACTGCCGCACCTCACAATCTTACTCCAGTGAAAGAAGAGCCAGTGAAGAGTGTGACCCACGTGACCCTTATTGTCAAATCTCCCAATCCCTCATTCATGAAAGTACAAACCCAGAAGAGTGTGATCCACGTGATCCTTATTGTCGGACATCTGAATCCCGTACTAGTGAAAGAACAGCAACAGAAGACTGCGACCCACGTGATCCTTATTGTCGCATCTCACAATCTTACTCCAATGAAAGAAGAGTCAATGAAGAGTGTGATCCACGCGATCCATATTGTAGGACATCTGAATCACATACTGGTGAAAGAACAGCAACAGAAGAATGTGATCCACGTGATCCATATTGTAGATCATCTGAATCACGTACCAGTGAAAGAACAGCAACAGAAGAGTGTGATCCACGTGATCCATATTGTCGGACATCTGAATCACATACGAGTCAAAGAACAGCAACAGAAGAATGTGATCCACGTGATCCATATTGTAGATCATCTGAATCACATACCAGTGAAAGAACAGCAACAGAAGAGTGTGATCCACGTGATCCATATTGTCACACCTCACAATCTTACTCCATTGAAAGAAGAGTCAATGAAGAGTGTGATCCACGTGATCCATATTGTAGGACATCTGAATCACATACTGGTGAAAGAACAGCAACAGAAGAATGTGATCCACGTGATCCATATTGTAGATCATCTGAATCACGTACCAGTGAAAGAACAGCAACAGAAGAGTGTGATCCACGTGATCCATATTGTAGATCATCTGAATCACGTACCAGTGAAAGAACAGCATCAGACCAGTGTGATCCACGTGATCCATATTGTAGATCATCTGAATCACGTACCAGTGAAAGAACAGCAACAGAAGAGTGTGATCCACGTGATCCATATTGTAGATCATCTGAATCACGTACTAGTGAAAGAACAGCATCAGAAGAGTGTGATCCACGTGATCCATATTGTAGATCATCTGAATCACGTATCAGTGAAAGAACAGCATCAGACCAGTGTGATCCACGTGATCCATATTGTAGATCATCTGAATCACGTACCAGTGAAAGAACAGCAACAGAAGAGTGTGATCCACGTGATCCATATTGTAGATCATCTGAATCACGTACCAGTGAAAGAAGAGCATCAGAAGAGTGTGATCCACGTGATCCATATTGTAGATCATCTGAATCACGTACCAGTGAAAGAACAGCATCAGAAGAGTGTGATCCACGTGATCCATATTGTAGATCATCTGAATCACGTACCAGTGAAAGAACAGCATCAGAAGAGTGTGATCCACGTGATCCATATTGTCGGACATCTGAATCACGTACCAGTGAAAGAACAGCAACAGAAGAGTGTGATCCACGTGATCCATATTGTCGGACATCTGAATCACGAACCAGTGAAAGAACAGCATCAGACCAGTGTGATCCACGTGATCCATATTGTCGGACATCTGAATCACGTACCAGTGAAAGAACAGCATCAGAAGAGTGTGATCCACGTGATCCATATTGTCGGACATCTGAATCACGTACCAGTGAAAGAACAGCAACAGAAGAGTGTGATCCACGTGATCCATATTGTCGGACATCTGAATCACGTACCAATGAAAGAACAGCAACAGAAGATTGTGATCCACGTGATCCATATTGTAGATCATCTGAATCACGTACCAGTGAAAGAACAGCATCAGAAGAATGTGATCCACGTGATCCATATTGTCGGACATCTGAATCACGTACTAGTGAAAGAACAGCAACAGAAGAGTGTGATCCACGTGATCCATATTGTAGATCATCTGAATCACGTACCAGTGAAAGAACAGCATCAGAAGAATGTGATCCACGTGATCCATATTGTCGGACATCTGAATCACGTACTAGTGAAAGAACAGCAACAGAAGAGTGTGATCCACGTGATCCTTATTGTCGCACCTCACATTCTTACTCCATTGAAAGAAGAGTCAATGAAGAGTGTGATCCACGTGATCCATATTGTAGATCATCTGAATCACATACTGGTGAAAGAACAGCATCAGACCAGTGTGATCCACGTGATCCATATTGTAGATCATCTGAATCACGTACTGGTGAAAGAACAGCAACAGAAGAGTGTGATCTACATGATCCTTATTGTCACAACTCGCGTTCCCGTTCTAGTGAGCAAGCACAAGAGAGAACAGGCACACACGACTGTGACCCATACAACGATCCAGAATGCCGTAGGCAGACAACTAGTTCACCTGAGTGTAACCCTGAGTATGACCCTAACTGCCATACTTCTCAGTCTCATACCAATGACCAAATGCACACAGAAAGCTGTGATCCACTCTATGATCCCAATTGCCGTGCCGACAATCAGGATGTGTATAGCTTAAATCCTGACTGCGATCCTGATTATGACCCTGAGTGTCGCATGCAACGATTTGCGTTTAGTGACTCAGAAGATGTGCAAGATACTAGCCGTTATGAAATTATCTGTGATCCAGACCTTGAATCCCGATGTCCTTATGAGGATGATATTAATGATGTGACTACACCTTATGGGGAATCTCATCATGAATATCACAGCTATGACCCTTACAATGAATGGCATGGAAATTAGTATCAAGGTGATCAGGAAACCCGTCCTGTCACTGAGAATTAAAGGTCTGCCATCTTTGGGTATAATGAACATGATGGTTATTGTGGACACCCAGGCTGCTAGGAGTCAAATGTCGGCAAGAAACTAAATATTAAAACAAATTCAAACTAAATGTTTCCCATAGCAGAAAGAATTTTGTAACAGCCTTGATCCGAAGTGTAACCTTATTGTACGTCTTTGAATAACGGAATATAATATTAAAAAATAACAAAGTATGGGGCCAATCAATAGTTCTGGATGAAATAAAATACAGTTTCATATTAATCTGTGTGATCTTCAGTCTATAGAAATTATTTTTTGGTGAAATTAACACATTTAATATACAAAAATGAGTCTACCGTAAAATGACAAATGATTGCTTTTCTGAACAGAAGAACTGGCCATTTGAGTAAAATACTGGAGAATTCTTGGCACCATGGCACCGTTCTGCAGCAAGAGTCCGTGCCTTCGGGAATGGAGAAAGAAAAACGGGAGAAAATTGGCTAAGAAAGAAAACCCAAATAGGACTGTAAAATAGTGGAATGTCAACAATTATGTTTGCTCTTTTTTCTCAAAAGTCTGCGGTTTTGCAACATACAAATTGTATACGAGTACTTTACGAGGCTTTGATCTTCACAACTAGTTGTATTGTGAAAAGTCCAAAACATTTTTGTTGCTTTGATCTTGTTTCATGGTAGGTGTTCATTAGAAATATATTCAAATAAAAAATGTTTGCAAAATATTCTGTTGCAGTGAAAAATCTCATACTTTATCTAATTATCTAGCAATCAGCTTGGCTCAGTGGTAGCATTCTCGTCTCTGAGTCAGAAGGTTGTGGGTTCAAGTCCCACATCGGGAACTCATAGTCTAAGATGACACTCCGGTGCTGGCGGTGGGAGGGGTGTTGCATTGTCAAGGTGGAGTCCTTCAGACGAGGCATTAAACAGATGCCTGTTCAGGTGGACGTTAAAGATCCCATGGTGCTATTTAAAAAGAAAAGGAAGTTTCTCCCTGTGTCTTGGCCAACAGTCCCCCAAATAAAATTGGTCAATCATCCATGGCTGCTTGTGGGACATTGCTCTGTGCAAAATTGGTTGCCACATTTGCCTGCAAATACACAGTAAAACCAGTGAAGCGCTTTGAGACATCCTTCCGAATGTAAGGATTTGAAGCTGGACTTGAATGTATTTTTATAGGTAATTAAATGGAGCCCATGAATAAATGGACTTATTTAAAAAAATGATTGACGCTTAATAGTAGATGGTAGGGTGGGTATTCTGGAAGGATGAAATCAAATGAGGGTGACAACCTTTTTCATCTGAACTTCCCTTGTGCTCCTTGTGACTGAAGAATAGTATGCTGTAACCTTCCTATCTCAAGCCGGGATTGACAAATTTTTCAGTCCAAATGCCACATGCAAACCACACTCCACATGTGTAAAATAGTCATATGGGCCACAGGATGGAAGTTGGCCTTCCCTGATCTAAAGGACCTGGCCCAGATAAATCATCTTTGCATCTGAGTAGGCACATTTTATCGTAGATGCAAAATCAAATGTCCAAAGGTATCAGGATTTCCTTAAATACAATGGTAAACAAATGTATCCAATTTATGAAGGCCTTTAACACTTAAGAAGGAGACAATTTACTCAAACCCTTTGATATCAGAGATTTCTGACCCACACAAAACAAAGCAGACCACTTAACCCAAGGTCATAAGTTGCACCTTGCATATGATATCGTCATGACAGTCTTCACCTCCCCCTCACTCCCCCCCTTCCCCCTCCTCATGCCCCCCTCCACCCTCAACTCCCTCATCCTCACCCCCCCCATTCTCACTCACCCCCTCCCCCTCTCCCCTTAACCCCCACACCGCCTCAACCCCCCCCCCCACACTCCCTCGCCTTCTCCCCCCCACATGCACACAAACAAACAAACAAACAAAAGGGACCCAAACATCTTCTCTTGAAGACAGTTCCCTGCAAAGATGGCCATTGGCAACACAAGGAGTGATTGCACATCTGTTTCTAATGACACACACGTGAATACCGTTAATTCATTATGTTGCTTATGAAGCACGGGTCAGGGTTGAGGCAGAGAAGAGGAGAATTTTTTTAAATTGAGATGAATTTCAGATCCACTCACTTTCTCTTTTCTCTTCCCGCATAATTTAGTATCTGTGCGCAGGTAGCAGCAACTAAGACACATGAAACTATTACATGCACCAGTTAATTTTTTTGGGTGTTTGTCACATGGGGAAGTCTCCATCACCATTCCTAAGAGTATCCAAACCAGACTGAGAGTATCAAGCTTGGAGTTCAAATTAAGCACAGCAGAAAGCACAGGGTGACCAAAAACTTGTGAAAACTATCCTATTATCTTTAAAAAAAAGCATAATTTCTTTAAAGACTTATTAGACATTATAATGGCATTAAGACTTTTTGGTCACCCTGTACTATAGGTGTATAACTACATGTATTTAATTTCACCATTGACCTAGTTGAACAAAATAATCCAATGCATTGGGGTTTTAGCTGTATTTAATGGTCAAAATTCAGATGCACTGCGCGAATACAGAGAAGCAATGTTGGAAGCCAAAACGTGAGCAGCTCCTGTGTGAAATCACCAGGCGAGCCCTAAGCTCCAGTTGTGAGAAGAGAAAATCATCGTTTGCCCTCTGCAGCTTTCACAGGATCTGTGCAATCTGAGTCACTGTGGAAATGCAATCAATTAGCACACCACCATCGATCCTGTCCCTCGTTTTCTAAACCCAGTAAATAATCCACCTAATTTGCAGCCACTCTGGTTATCTAAGGTGCTAATAAAGTCCATTTTACATAGATTTATTTTTTTTCCTCTTATATAATAATCGCAGCTGATTGGATTGTGGAGCAAGAATGGGATTAATATAAACATGTGGGTGATGCTGCACGCAATAGCACAAGCCTAGAAATAAGATAAATGCAGGTGGCTGGGGTATTGGGTGGATTGCAAGTCAGGGGAATTTATCAGCCACGTTTTCTGAAGTTATTGCTGTTCCAGTCATTCACAGAAAATTCCTGATCTGGACTGGGCAGAGTGTTGTCGTGCAATGTTTTAACAGATGGATGAACATTTTGCAAGACGTTGCAATCTGCTCTACTTTTCCTCTCTTGATTTTTAAAAAAAATATATATATATATCATCGAAATGGATGTTGGTTGATCAATGACATGTTGTGCCAGCCTGAGCTATTTAATAGTATTTAATAGTTCAGTGTTCAGGGACCACTCTCTGCCCTCTGCTGGTTAACAAGACAGTTAGCACAGAAGACTGAGGGCAGCTTAAACATATCAGGTATCCCTGGTCGATATTGCTGTGAATAAAACCACTTTCGTTCACTGGAGCCCATTTTCTAGAGTAATTGTGCATAACATTGGTCTAACATAAGGTTAACTCCCCATTGGGTCTCTCGTTTAAAGGTAAAAATCCCTTGTCCACTCCCCTCTTCCCACATTCATTGATCTTTCCAATCCATTGACTAATTGCAACGGGTGTTATCCTGGTAGTGCTGCCCTAAACCAGTGCAAGGTTGGATTCAAGAATAACTCTGGGACAACTTTCAGGCAGATCTTGCACTCCCTTTTTCACACAAACATGGGTAAAATTGGGATCTCAGTGGATTGAGGGATAAAATCTACATCCCATCAATAATTGAAAGTGCCACAGTCTTCTCTGCTATAAGCATTGTGTTGTGTTTAAGTTCTCTGAGACTACTCCACATGATTGATGGGCACCATTCAAATTCAAGCTGTTGTATTGAATTACAGCATTGGCTGTGAAGTGCTGATATTTCATCCAACTGAATCCAGCCAGTGAAGATTATAATACTCTAGTTGAACTCTGGGTATGTATGTCTTTTTATCTTAAATGCTATTGATACTTAATATTTTCCCCTTAATTTTACAGAGTTTTGCTATGTAATGTGTATGTCTTCCTATGTTCGGCCAGCTGCAAGAGAACATTTTGTATTGTATTGAATGGATCCTTTGCAGGTATCTTAAGTTTTTTTATTGGAGCTCACTATTTCATAAAACTTCCAGGCAGTGTTTTATTTTAAAGATTGGCGTCAATGTGAATCTCGGTGTCAATTAGAATCAAAGGCTAAGACACCTAAAAGTGTTTTAAATCCACTTCTATATTGATTTTATATTGTTAGATAGGGCTGCCATAAAAGTAATTTGAAATATTCAGCCTAGTCTTTGGACAAAAAGTGCATAATATTACCATCTACTTTAGTGATACTTTAGCCAACTTCTATACATCGTATGAACTCTGAAATACAACTGTTGTTCAATACTATTTTTATTTATTTCTCAGTCAGAAATGTAATATGTTCTGATCACCTTAATACAGGAAATGAATAATTAACTAAGTTCACCATTCTCAGTAAATCAAGTATTTAATTATCCAGCTTTTCCATGACATGATTATATGAAAATTGCACACATTTTATGTATTTTATATGTTGCTAATCTATAACAAATGAAGGAGGGTATCTTTCTTCACCAGTTGGTTGCACAAGAACTAGAAAGAAAACGTCAGTAGTGATGGACATAACGTTGCAGAAGTGCAACCTATTTAATATAAATCAGGATACAAAAGGAAGCCTGTAAACATGGAATCATTATTGTTATCAGCATAAATTCCATTAAATGTATTATCTCCATATACTTGTAGCCACACAGAATCCCCTGCGTCTAAATGAATTGTCACTGAGCCTCCAGCCTGATCTAAATCATTATTCTGAAACTGATCGTAAGTAAAAACGATGGCCTTGCTGTTTTTGTACAGACCAACTTTGACGTCTTTAGTATAGACGGTCAGATGATACGAAAAGAAGTAGATCCCAGCGAAAGGAGAGGTGAATTTACCAGTCTCTTCATCGTAGTGCTTTTCCCGATTGTAAAAGATCTTGGTGAATTTGATGGGGATATTCGGGATGGGATTTATTGAGGTCAGTCCCACGCTGAATGCTGAGCGGTAACTATAGCCACTTTCTCCTTTATCCCCTTTCCTTCCTGGAGTTCCTGGAAGCCCTTCTACTCCATCAACACCTGATGCTCCTGGCTCTCCATCATCCCCCTTTGGTCCTTGTTGTCCTAAATGTTAAAAACACAAAAATGTGTAATGTTTTACACAAAGGTTCGGTTTCTACAATTTATGCATTTAAAATTGGGAATGTTATGGCTTTTACTTCATAGGCAATTCATCTTCACTGCATCTTGAAAAGACTTTTGTTATTAATGCCTCGCTCCTTTCTGATAGGATTGAGTGTGGGAGCCGGCAACTGGAGAGTACCTCACCTAAGGTATCATTACTCATATGCAAATCCAAATAGTGAGTGTTTGCCAAGCATTCATTTGGAGGGGAATGTGTCTTGCAGAAGCATTTAATCCTATCTTTACTGATATCCACATGTACTTTCCAGGAAGGTAGAAGTTAGTGATAGAATTTCTGATTATCGCTATTTCCTTGTCTAAGAACAGTGATGTCCGAATACCATCCCAACTGAGATAACCATGGATTGACTGTACGGACCAAAATCCACCAGCAAAACAACTACCTGGTTACAACTACACTATGCATCCACTCGCTGAGAAGTTCAATTTACATGTGTTTATAGGTGGTGAGAAGTCGCAAATAGTATATTGGAGAATATTAGATTGATACTTTGTCCCCGATATCGTGATTAGTGTTGAAAATGACTAGTCAATGGCTGGTAATGGTCTGTAAAGTATTAATAGTAATAATTATAATCCTTGCATTTTATTATCCGTACCATTGCAGTTTGACCATAAAATAAGCATGGCATTGGTGATTTAATTGTGTTCCAGGGAACTAATTAAGGCCTCAGTATTGAAGTGCTACACTTGAACAAATGGAAAAGTTATATAACTCCAAATACTTTCTGAAATGTTGATTCTATCTAAAGGCACTTGACATTCATTGTGAAACTATGCACGTTACCTTCATCTCCTTTATCTCCCTTTGTACCATCACGACCATCTCTACCATCCTTCCCTGGAATGCCATTATGTCCAGGGTTGCCCGGTATTCCTGCCATCCAGTTTGGACAGCCTTGAATAACAGTGGGGGAAGCTTGAGGTTGGGTTGCTGGGGCTACTGGAAGTTCTGGGCTATCAGGGCTCTCATCATTGGGCTCGCTCTCGGGTTCCTCTGGCTCGCCGTTTTCAGAACAATTCAACCCGACCATAACCACCAGCAAAATGAGCTGTTTTAGTAGCATTTTCATTGTGATCTTCCTATAAGATGCAGATAAACAAGACAGTGAAAATCTCAGGTGTATGCTCTGTAGGCTAAACCCTTGTAAATCTTTTTTCTTTGTTATGTAAATTCTTCTATCTTTTGACTCTGGCTTTACAATGAACATTTTCAGCACAATAGCTCTCGAATAGTTCACTTGTGTCACCTGACATTATAACAATACTAATTAATAAATAATAATGCTTACATTTGGTATACCAAAGCGGAGAGTAAACCCTGCAGTGGATAGCATCAACTAAATCATGTTGAGATTCCAATACAAATACAATACAAAATTACATTTGTATAGCACCTTTCACATTGGTAGGATGTCCCAAAGTGATGGACAGTCAGGGATTTGGACCTGAGCAGGGGGAGTTGGGATCAGTGAGGGTGGAGGGCGGGGTGGCCAAAGGCACGGTCGAGGAGGTGGGTCTTGAGACGTGCCTTGAAGGAGACAAGGGAGGAAGTGAGGTGAAGGGAATGTCGGATGGAGTTCTAAAGGATGGGGCAGAGAGGTTGATGGCCTGTCTGCTGATGGTGGAGCGGGCCACGGGGAGATGTGGAGCAGTGTTTTGTTGGAAGCAGAAAATTTTCACCCTCCTGCCAATACTTGCCAATAGTGTGTGTGTGTGTATATATATATATATATATAAAGATGCATTTAAGCTGCAATACTTATCAATAAAGTGACAGCTTCTCCTTTATTGCTCATCTCATTATATTGAAGAGGTTTATTTTGCCTCTTGCTGTTGTTTCTCTCTCACTTCCCCACCCCACCCATCCATTAAGAAGGTGTCTGCGGAACTGCTCTTGATCCATCTGGTAAGAATTGGGAAAAGAAATGTCTGCAGGGATGAACACCTGCCCTCCCACTTACCTCCCTGAGGCAAAACATGCAGCCAGCCTCTGTTCAGCACTTCCTTCTAACCAAGAACACTTCTAATCAAAATTAGACACTTGACCCATAGGGAAGAGTATATCCTACCACTCTGGTATAACGTGGTGCACAAGTCCATTACCACACCACGTTGCCTTCATTCTTAGCAATATCTGTGTTTGTGTTGTGTGTTAACATTAACACGGGAGTAAATTATAAAGGTAAAATAATTCAGAGATTGAATTTTTTTTACCCAAATGCAAGCTTTAATGATCTGAGAAAGTTATTCAAACCCAGCAATTGAATTTGATTGGTATGTAATGCATTAGTTCAATGAAAGAGTTTTAAAGGGACGGTGTGTATTCATTCAGCACAATAAATTGTAGCCAATTAGTACTTCTTTCTCAATTCATTTCTGCAATGACTGTTTTTACAAAGTTAGTCTGCTGAGTGCTGTGTTTGACACTCATTATTTGACACTGTGAAGCAGATGCAAGGAATTATGTAGGGCAAAGGGGTTTTCTTTCAATGTATATTTCTTTAATGTTGACGGCAGCGAACTTCTGTTCCGTTGCTCTGCAGACTGACATCTGGCCCTTTTATCTCCCTTTTGAGTGTGTGTTACAGCAGCAAATTTACAGCTGCCTTGCAGAAAACAAACCACTTGCGGTCTATCTGCAAGTTTAACACATCTACCACAAACAGCACGGGGGAGAAGAGCACAGCAATGGAGCCGCCACTGTGTCTACATCACTAATGGAGGGCTTTCTGGGAGCAATTATTAAATCAAACATGGAAGAAGCCAGAACTAATAGATTATGATTTATATGAGTGTTAATGTGCAACACACACACACTTAAACCTCTGCTGAAGTTCCCCTTTAAAATATTATATATTTATTGCTATTTTCCATCCAGGCATTTATTCAGGGTTGCAAGGTAGCATTAATCTAATCTGGTTATTGCCTCTGATTTAAGCTTGGAATTTTGTTTAGGTTTTTGCCCATTTTAAATAATTTACTCTTGGCTACCTTTTTACAGTTGGCTATTTCATTGTTGGTCTTTTATAGAACAGATTTCAGGATCTTCGTCTCAGATTGAGTAAAGTTCTCATTGCTGCTTCCATACATGTTTGCTACTACTTACTTTTCAGTGACTTTCGCAGTGACGGTCACGCTATTTCTATTTTCCTATTCAATCCCAGAAGGAAGATAGCAAGATGGATTGAACATGTTGGTAGCTGCAACAGTTGCTACAACTGCAACTCAGAATGTTTGACCTGTACTGTAATGGCTCTCGGCAGTCAATCACTCCAGTGTTATCAACTTGTTCATTGACCTTGAACAGGAGCAGTATGGTTATACATGATTTCATTACCATGTGCATTGACGCCAAACACTTCTTAGATGAAACTAATGCACAGTCTCATGGGATAATGGAAGGAATTTGGTCAATGCTCCATCACCTCTATGGATCTCATAATTTGCCACTTTAGGATATATAAGACTCCTTATTCAGGGAATATTTCAGTTGAACTGTTTGTAGGTGCTACTGTGGATTCTGTGTTTACGAAGTATTTACTATTTTAGATGAAGGCAACTAATAATACTTTGGTCCACACATAAATAATATGGATTTATATCTACCATTTCAATATCTAAGGAAGCAGAAGAAGGCGATACAATGCCTAAGAGTAATAAGACATTCTACAAGTCTGTGAATCAATTGTCATTAAAAAGGCCATTCAAGTCATACATTTCTTAGATGAGGTTCAGGAAAATAAATTTCAACGTTGTGGCAATTGTTCTCAAACCAGGGGTCCTATGTGTAACGTGTGATTTTCAGAATGTACAGGAATCATGTTTCAATGTGAAGAACAATGCAACGTATAAAGCTTCAGCATTTTGATGGAACAATATGGAATATTGAATGCAGTGTGTAGGAATGGTCTTGAAAGCTCATCTTCTCTTTCTATGCTTTACTCTCTAATTTGTAGCAAAGACACACGGCAGGGCCACTGCTGGAAACGTAGAGCATTCCATGAATTGTGTTGAAAGATATTCTGGTAAGTGTCTTGCCTGCCAGTCAAATATCTGGCTGTGTATTGCTTACCATTGGGTTATAGTGATCAATTAGTTTCAGTTGCAACAGTATTGAATTCATGAAAAGTGGACCAATAGCAGTAGACAAGTTAAAACACCATCCCATAGTAAATCGTCAGAGTGAAATTCATTGTTTGGGATTTTTATAAAAAAGAAAGCTTCAATAAGCCCTTTTAATAAGTCTGTCACTGTATTATTCCAAATTAAATTTCTGCGAAAGATATTGTTCAAAACCAGAACACATTGCTAGGAAATATGTTATTTTGTTTCCTTTTTTCCGACAACAGTGAGATTTTATTTGACGACTGAGCCTGAAGTGTATCTGAAATAACTTGGCAACCTTCCATAAAAGTATATTGTCAATTGCCCTAGAAAGCCGACATATTGCACCAATCATTCTCAATAAAATCATTGCTAAGTAGATGTATTCTTGAAGACTTCATACTTATAATTTTTTTTCTATCTGCAACATGCTGGAGTATTAGTTTTATCTGGGCTAAGAGTATAGCTGGCAATTTACTGATAGACTCAAAATAGCAATGACGCTTTATAAAGAAATGCATTTGTTTTATTTATTGATCCAAGTATTTATTTATTGATTACTTGACGAGCCTCTGCCAAATGGGGTGACACAAAAATCAGTTGATAAATGTTTTGAAGTATAGTCCAAAAATCAGCAACTTGTTGCGTAGAGTAGTCAACATTGTTGATCAACATTAGATGAAGTTTTTTAAAGTAAAAATACAACTAATTTTTTTTAACGCGCTTTAAAAAAAACATTAAATCATTAAAAGGCACCTTTCAAAAATGCATCTACAAATGGCTTTTTCATTGGAGAAATTTATAAATCTTACCAGCCTGTGTGTTTTGTCCTTGCCTTTTACAAACAGTTGTCTCTCTTGCTGGTGCAGAATATCCTGGACTTGTGTCACAAGATCTGCCTGTTGGCCCAGATGGAATTGTCTGTCACCCAGAGCTGCAATTCTATTTGACAGCCGACACTTAGATCATCATTCATACTTTTATTTTAATGTACATGTGTATATATATATATTAGGTTAAAATAAATGGGAACTGCACACTCTTTACGAAACAATTTCATTAAAACTTTTTTTTACAAAAAAAGGCAAAGTGACTGGATGAACTTATGTAATTTTATTTCCAAAATAGAATGTTTTTTGGGGGGCCGGAAACCCATCGCTGTGGAGCATCCAAACCGAACTGGATTGAGATCCAAAATACAATAGAGAAATTAACACAATTCAGTTGCGAAAATTAAAGTTGTAATCATAGCGTTAGAAAAGCTTTACCATTATTGGATGTTTCAACGTCTGACAAGTTACAATGCTATATTTAGTTACCAGTTCCTTAAATTAATGTTACCTCTGCTCAGAAAGGTCGAGTCAGTAAGCAGATGCTAAACTAAGCAGCTCAGAAACCCACAATAATGTTTGGGGGATACCAGCTGGTATGGCATATGGTCAACAATTAATTTCAGTCGTTTTCATAAATCTCTTACTTTCTCATATTTTAGTTCTTTCTCCTCTCTCCTTATAGATATGTCCAGACTACAAATCACAGCTTGCCTGACCAAATTGGTGGGTGAAGTAACAGCTGCCAAGGCTTTGCTCATGCTGCTTTGCAAGCAGTTTTCAGCTGGTGTGTGACAGTAGCTGGACTGAATCATTGTTTGATGTTTTAGTGAAACTGAGACCAGGCATTGGGTTCAGATTCCCACTCGTAGATTGAATGGATCTGATCCAACCATACCAGTGTTTTATGTATTTTGATCATTCATATTCTCTGCAGTGATTCATCCAGTGTGTCTCTTGAACCTTAACAGAAAGATATGCAATCTTTTTTTTTATCTTTCAAGATCTTTCCCCGTTTGAAACTAGTAATGGTAATTTTTTCCCCTCACTAACCTGGGTTACTGAGCCCAATCAATCCTCCTGTTGCAACATACTGAGATCAATTAACTAAACACAGACTGGGGATTGGGAATGGGACCTTCCCAGTCGGTATAATTCATCTGTTCACTGAATCACATAATGGCCGCCTTGTGTGGGACATAACTATGCTGTCGTGTTCTCCTACAAAATAAGGAATCACTACACTTTGCATTAAATCCTGTGAAGTGCTTTGAGAAGTTTTGACAGTGTGATACACCAATGAATCAAATGGAAGGATTATTAGCATTTTATCATTAATTTGATTAACCACCAAAGCATTCCACATTTGGAGTTTTTGTTCCACATCTTTAAATGTTATGGTTTATTCTTTGAGCTCTTCATTTTTTACATATTACGCAGCGACCAAACACGTTGTTCATTCAGTAGAACTCTTGCCTCTGAGTTGGAAGATTGCGAGTTCAAGCATCCCATATCGGGACTTTGAACTCAGTTCAGTCTGACACATTGATACAGTACTGGGCATTTGGCAGAGACCTGAAACAAGAGCCCTGTCAGGTGGATGTTCACGATACCATGGTACTATTTGAAAGAAGGGAATTTCTCCTGGTGTTCTGGCCAATAATTTCCATAAATAAAATTGGTCATTCACTTCATAGCTGTTTGTGGGGCATGGCTGTGTGCAAATTGGCTGCCACATTTACCTACAAAATACAATCCCTTAGAGTAAAATCCTGAAGTGCTTTGAGACTTCATAATGACGTGATAAAATGCTATATCAAATGCAAGTATTATTAGTATTATAGACCATATACCTTAATATATTCTGCCCTTCTTATACACTGTGAATAACCTCTGGTATTACAAAATGGTTTACTATATTTTTTAAAAATATATTATCAAATGTAGACTATGCAAGAAGGTTTTACAACAACAATAAAATTACATTTGTATAGCGCCTTTCATGTCAGGAAGACGTCCCAAAGCACTGGACAGTCAGAGTTTCAGACCCGAGCTGGGGTTCTCGTTCGGGGAGGGTAGAGGGAGGGCACGGGGGGAAGCAGGGTGATCAAAAGCACGGTCGAAGAGGAGGGTCTTGAGATAGGTCTTGAAGAAGGCAAGGGAGGGGGCGAGGCGCTGACAGCATCACCATCCAAGGATGCACACTCCACCTTACTAAGTCAGTCCGGAAACTTGGTGTCTTGTTTGACCCTCAACTATCTACACCACATCTGTGCCATGACGCACTCTATGGGATAGAGTTCCAGAGGGTGGAGGCAGAATGGCAGAAGGCCCGCCTGCCAATGGTGGGGTGAGTGAGGCAGGAGTTGTGAAGCAAGCCGGAGCGTGCTGAGAGGACGCAGCGGGCAGGATGGTAGGGGGTTAGGAGGTCGCAGAGGTAGGGGGAACAATACCATGGAGGGCTTTGAAGGTGATGACACCAGGATCTTGAACTGTATCCTCTGTGTGATGGGAAGCCAGTGGAGTCAGGCGTGGATGGAGGTGATAGGGTCACGGAGCCTGGTGCGGGAGAGGACACAGGCTGCAGAGTTCTGGATGATCTGCAGCCTATGCAGGGAGGAGTTGGGGATGCCGACAAGCAAGGAGTTTACATAGTCAAGCCTCGATGTTATGAATGCGTGAATGAGGGTTTCGACAGCCTGTAGTGTGAGGTAGTGGTGGAGCCGGGCGATGTTGGGGAGGTGGGGAAAGGCAGAGTGGGTCATGGCACAGACGTGGGGTAAAAAAGATAGTTGAGGGTCAAACAAGATGCCAAGTTTCCGGACTGGCTTTGTAAGGTGGAATGTGCATCCTTGGATGGTGATGCTGTCAGCGCCTGAGACAGGAACAATCAGGAGAGCCTCAGTCTTGTTGACGTTCAACTGAAGAAAGTTAGCTCTCATCCAGGACTTGATGTCTGGCAGACATTCTGTCAGCACAGCAGTGGTCCTGGAGTCAATAGTGGAGGCAGAGAGGTACAGTTGGGTGTCATCCACATACCAGTGGAAGTTGACCCCTTGTCTGTGGATGATGTCACCAAGAGGGAGCATATAGATGTTGAAGAATAGGGGACCAAGGATAGAGCCCTGAGGAACGCCGCACGAGATGGTACGGGGACTGCAGGAGAAACCATTTGTGGGGATGAAGTGAAGGAGGTATGAGAGGTACAATCTGAACCAGTCAAGGACACAGCCGTGAAGGTTGAGGTGAGAGGAGAGGCGGTGGATGAGGATAGAGTGGTCAATGGTGTTAAAGGCAGCAGAGAGGTCAAGGAGGACGGGGAAGCAGAGGGAGCACTGGTCGCAGATGGACAGAATGTCATTTGTCACTTTGACCAGGGCTGTGTCTGTTCTGTGGGCGGCACAGAAACCCAATTGGAGGGGTTTGTGAAGGGAGTGATGGGAAAGGAAGGAGCGAAGCTGGGAAGCCACAACTCATTACAGCAGCCGTTACAGGTACTGTAAACGTATATGAATTTTAAGGCATTTACAATGGGAATAATCAAAGAGCATATTCAGTGCACTGTTATTATGTGCAGCAAGCAGGGAGATGGAAAAACAGTGCTGTTTGTATTTAGCAAAAAAGGGTAGGGAGGTCACTTTTGTATTAACAGCAGATCAGTGTGGTAATGATTAACATAGGAACAGATTAGAATTTGGTAAACACTTGCTAAAATGGACATGTGTACATCAAGCAGAATTATCGGTGAACAAATGCTTTATTTTCTGTTCTCCTTTCTAGTGAGCAGTTGTTATTACTCTTCAATCAATGGAGAGACAAGTGTATGCCGTGCTTATGATATTGATTCTGCACTTATGACAAATCTCAAGTAGAAAGGAGTTGAGACTCGATGGAGTAACTTTAGAAGCTATGGTTAAAAATAAAGAACGTGTAACACAGGCTGATATCATCATAAGCTATTTGTAGACCGATAAACAGTCACAGACATTTCGCCACCTGCCATTTGGCTAGCTACTGAGCAATACAACAGCCAAAAACTGTTTAGTCTTCACTACTGGGCACTATATGGCAATTCTAAATTCCCTGAAGAAAATAATCCTGAACCTTAAAGTCCACGACACAACCTGACGTCCTCCCGACGTGAAAGGCGCTCTATAAATATAATTTTGTTGTTGTTATAATAATAATCCTTGCATTTGATATAGCGCTTTTCACGTGGGGAGGACGTCCCAAAGCGTTTCACAGAACACACTGTAAAGTGAATTGACTGTGTATTTGTGGGCGAACGCGGCAGCCAATTGCGCACAGCAATGTCCCACAAACAGTCGTAGATTGAAAATGACCAATTTATTATTGTTTTTGGTTTTGGAGGGATTATTATTAGGTGTGTGGAGTAAGAAAACTTGCCCAAGGTTTCGCACTGCCTGGAATTGAACTCAGGTCTCTCGCTTGCAAAGCGAGTGCTCTAACCACTGAGCTACAGGACTGTTGATTGTTTATTCTAAAAATACATTTTTAATGAAAATGTTTTTGAAACCAACATCCAGCAGATTTATTTCTTGACCTTAACAGCAAATTAACCAGTCTTGAATTAACACAATTATTTCAAATAATTTGCTCACCTCTAATTCATCTATTTAATATTGATCCTAATTTATTGTCAACAAGGGTAATTTTAGTTCTAAACCACATTTATAGTTCAGCAGTGAGGTTTGTCACAATCTCTGTATATTTACTTCTCCATCAAAGAAGTATTGAGTTGAGTGGAAATTTTTCTCTCTTACTTCCTGATTTTGTTTTTGTCTTGTGGTCCTCCCCACCTACTCACCACCACCCACACATACATTAGAGTTGAGTTCGAGAATATGACCTGTACTTGTTCTAACCTATATTATTTTAGAACTGCAACTCACTTAGCAGAATTTCCTGTCAAATACAGCAGTTGTGCTTTTGTTGAGTGTATGAGAATTGGAGAGTGTTTAAATAAAAGAAACAACCAGCAGATCTGTGAAAAGCAAGGAAATCAAGTGCAACACTCTCTCTGACTGCAGAAAAACAAC